ATTCATCCCGTATTCGAGCCACCAAATGGGGATCACGGGCTGAACCACCCTTTCTAGACAATGGTGATTGCAGTTATTGAATCAGATTCAACAATTAAATTTTTCCAATCTTCCTCCCAAGCCATCTCCAAACCTTTGAGAATTCCCCAAAGTTCAGCATTGAGAGCATTACAAGTACCTATCCTGTATCAGAAACCTTTAAGCCAGTGACCCATATCATCTCTAGCAACTCCACCACAAGCAGCTAAGCCTTGAGAACTTCTTGCAGCTCCATCAGTATTTAATTTATTCCAATTCGCTTCTGGAGGATTCCATCTAACAAGAATTTCTGCTTTGTTTTTAACTAAGAGATGACTAGAAATAAATTGAAACGCCATATGGGATTCTGCCGCTGCATTGAGAACCAAATTCCTCTTATAATGATGAGAAGAAACAGCAGTGCCATGAATTAAATCATTTCTCCATCTCCAAGGCAACCAAACAGTAGTACCAAACACAATGCACCAAGGAGTATTATTTGTATACCTGTCCATGCAAGCTAATTTTTTTTCCAGCCAAGTATATAGATCATCAGTAAAAAAAGAATTGTCAAAACTGGTTGGCATTAATTCCTGCCAAAGCTTTTTAATATTCAAGCAATCCCTAAGCAAGTGCATAGAGCTCTCGGTTTCATGCAAACAGATAGAGCAGAAAGGATTACCCATATTAAAGGAACTCAATATATCCTTTGTTGGAAATTTATTATGAAGAACTTTCCACAAGAATAATCTAATCATTTGAACACCTTCCCAACTCCAAATCTTTTTCCAAATCATTGAATTACTATTCGGATCAGAAACATTACCTGCAAGAGTTTGGTAGATGCTCTTGACTGAAATCTGATCTGAGTTGTTTAAATTCCATCTCATGTAATCAGCTCCATCAATCTCATTTGGGGGTAAAATACTTTTAATTGATAACACAACATCAGTAGGAAGCCAACTAGCTAGTAATTGTAAGTCCCAATTACCCTGATCATCCACATACTCCTTTATTCTTTTGTTACTTTCCTCCCAAGGGATTGGATTTACAGCCAAGTCCATAAGCCTTTTTCCATCATGAATCCACTTGTCTTTCTAAAAAGAAATATCATTACCATTACCAATCTCCCAGTTTAAATGATTCTCTAATTTTTTTCCAGATAGAGCAGATGTACTTCCACAATCTTGAATCACCATCTCTACAGCTGAATAAGGCATTCCCTCTTTTTTGACCACTATATTTAGCCCTGAGAAGATGAACCCAGAATTTATCCGGATTAGCAAAGATATCCCAAGCCAGCTTACCTACAAAAGCATCATTCATCAAAATTAACTTCTTTAATCCCAAACCTCCCTCTGCTTTTGGTTTTGTCATAACCTCCCAGCTCACTAGATGCATCTTTTGTTTTTCCTCCGTATCCCCCCAAATGAAACCTCTTTGCAACTTTTCAATTTCATGACAGATTGATTTTGGGATTTTATCACATTGCATTTGAAAGAAAGGAATAGTAGACAGAACAGACTGAGCCAGGGTAATCCTTCCAACTTGAGAAAGACACTTTGACTGCCAGCCATTCAACTTATTTTGAACCTTTTCAACAATATTAGCATAAGCTTCCTTAGATGCTCTACCATGCTTCATCATTATTAACCCAATATTTTGATTGAGTCGATGAGTGGTCCTAATTTCTAATATCATTTTATTTTTATTTTCATTTTAAGTATAAAATAAATATTTTTTCAGTTTATTGATAATTTACATAATTAATTTTAGAATAGCCTTAATTAAAACAAACTGATGTAATGTAAGGTGCTAACTCTGTATGTAACCAACTCCCAAATCGGCAAACAAATTTATAAAAGGTATGGGATAGCAGCCTTTCCGAGCGAGCCTCTGGGATCTCCTGTAAACCCCCATGATGTGGTAAAGGGAGGATATTAGGGGAAGCAGTGATCTCCGTGCGTGGCGTGATAAGGAATCCTAGAAAAGATCGATTTAGACTCCCTCCCCTATTTTTTTTTATTGATTCAATACAATAGGGGAAAAGATCGTAAAGTTCCCTACCGAGACAACAGAAACTCTCAGGAATTTTCAATTCCGAAGGATTACCCTTTTGTTTGAGCAGGGGGCTTTACCAATGCTTAACGAATGGACCAATCCAAGACTTGGAATGCTACCATAATCGACATCTGCTCTTACCTTAGACGCACGATACCGAAATGGCTCTTCGCCATTATTTAATATTTTAGAAAAACCCAATAAAAAAAATGGAATAAGAAAACAACTTTTCCTTCTCTTTAATGTTCCGTGTTTTTTGATAAAACAAAAAAAAATGAGAAATTTTATAAGATTGAATAAAAAAATTCAATAAATCATTGGATATTGATAGAATTGCTATGCTTAGTGTGCGACTCGTTGGTTTTTGTATTTTAATTAAATAATTACGTATTTATTGCAGTTTTGAAAATAATTACGGATCTATTGCACAATGTGACGCCTCTTTTGGGCGTCACATGTGACGCCTTATTTAGGTGTCTCACCCTAAGGGGAGACGCCCCAATGGGGCGTCTCTCATGAGGTGTTGACACGTGTCAGTTTTTTTTTCAAAAAATAATAATTTAATCATAAAACTTCTTAAGGTCATAACTTTTGACTCAAGTATCCAATTCAGGTAATTCTTTTTTTGATTTCACATAACTTTTCGAGGTCTACGCAATGACATCTCATTTGATATATTTTATTTCTCACAAACATAATTTAAATTTAAATCAGGTAATCCTTCTTCCTTAGAGATTTATAATATTTATTTAATTATTTCCTTTATTAATACAGATTTCTCAAATTGATTTTTGAATTTAAATCACAAATCAAATCTTTATTTTGTTTTCGTTATTAATAATAATTTTTATTTTAAATTTAAATCACAAATCAAAATTTAAAAATGTGAACTCTGAATAGCCTTAATTAAAAATGTGAGACTTCTGACATGTGTCAACACCTGACACGTCACCAATCACGTCTAAATTGAGTTTCAAATAAGAGGCAATCACGCCTAATTTAGGTAATTTTATTTTTGAAAAACATTCATAAGCCATCATTAATTTCAGACCACAAATAATAACCCAGAAGCTTATAGCATTAATCATTAATTTCTAAAATAATATCCTTTCATCCTTAGAGATTTAGAATATTTATTTAATTATTTTCTTTATTTCTAAAGATTTTTCAAATTCAGTTTTTAGTTTAAATCACAAATCAAATCTTTATTTTGTTTTCCTTATTAATAATAATTTTTATTTTTATTTTAAATAACAAATCAAAATTTTATTTGTTTTTTTATATTAAATTACAAACCCAGAACTCGGAGGCTTCTGGATTTAACCGCTCTTATAATACCATTCTTGCAAATTAAAATTGTGTTTGTGAGAAATAAAATATGTCAAATGAGATGTCATTACTTAGATCATGAAAAGTTATGTGAAATCAAAAAAAGAATTACCTGATTTGGATACCCGAGTCAAAAGTTATGGCCTTCAGAAGTTTTATGATTAAATTATTTTATTTTTTGGAAAAAAATATGATACGTGTCAACATCTCACCCCTTAGGGTGAGACGCCTAAATGAGGCGTCACATGTGACGCCAAAAGGGGCGTCACATTGTGCAATAGATCCGTAATTATTTCCAAAACTGTAATAAATGCGTAATTATTTTATTAAATAGTATTAAATTAATTTTTTTGGCCTCCCAAATCCATTCTAACTTTTAAATACAAATGTATTTTTCACTGAGAGAATTCTTTTCAATATTTTTTCAAATATATCTCAGTGACTCCATCCATATTTTCCATTTTTTATTGTTCACTGCCCCACCTTGATCCAGGTTATACCACATGATGTATATATTCTTGAACAAAATTTGTTACTAGGAGTATTGATTATCTGCATGACAATAACCACTAAGCCCCTTGTATTGTTGTCATTTTGCTATATTTATTAATTTTTATATATCTTCGTATAAATTTAATTTATGCAATTCAACTTTGACCGATTAATTGAATCAATAAATTATTAACCCAATATTCTGATTGAGTCGATGAGTGGTCCTAATTTCTAATATCATTTTATTTTATTTTCATTTTAAGTATAAAATTAAGTTTATTAATAATTTACATAATTATTTTTAGAATAGCCTTAATTAAAACAAACTGATGTGATGTAAGGTGCTAACACCTTCTCTGTATGTAACCAACTCCCAAATCCATTCTAACTTTTAAATACAAATGTATTTTTCAATAATAGAATTCTTTTCAATATTTTTTCAAATATATCTAAGTGACTCCATCCATATTTTCCATTTTTTATTGTTCACTGCCCCACCTTGATCCAGGTTATACCACACGATGTATATATTCTTGAACAATTTTTGTTACTAGGAGTATTAATGATAATATAATGCTAATCACAAACCAAAACTCTTTAAAAAAAAAAAACACATAACTTTATGTGACAATATACCACTCGTGCTAAGGGCCCTTTGGATGAGCTTTTTTTCTTTAAAAGTTGCTGTTTTTCAAGAAAAAAAGCACTTCTCGTTTTTAGTTCGTTTGGATGTCTGTTTAAAAAAAAAGCAGAAGTCACAAAAAAGTCAAAAATTTACTTTTTCCAGAAGCTAAAAATTTTAACTTTTAAGAAAAGCAAAAGTCAAAAGTCAAATATTTTTTTCAAAACTAAATATTTTTATAAAAATATAAATAACTTTAACTTTTATAAAAAAAACACTTCTAAAATAAGGAAGAGATAAAAGTTACATTTTTGAGAAGTGCAACCAGACGGGCTTAAATCCATTGACCAACTGAAAATGTCACCCAACTAAGGAATTTCTTTATAGCACATGGCAAGCGCATTGTTTGAACAACGCCTATAATTGCATCAAAGATAAATACTGCTATATATTTCACATCATCAATACCTTGTTATTTATACACCAAGTTCTTTCAGTTTTCTTGGAGAAGACATCAAGGTACAACTAATTTACACAAGGTCAATGCAGAATAACAAATAAATGGTTATAGTTTCAATTAACCTGCAATTCTGATTCATTTGAAATATAGAGGCAACATATATTACAGAGTCTAGACAATCAAATGCAGATAACAAGCAAGGCCAGAACACCTTGAGAGGTGCTTCTTGGTTATTTATATATCAGGCTTCTTTTGGACCTTTCCCTACCAAAGTCATTAAAAAATCTTTGTAGTCTCCAGAGGTATCCCCAATGACATCATCATCAAGACTTGAGTTGTAGATGTTGGCATATTCAAACCTTACTTTCAAGAGGTCAATTTCAGCTCGAGTTACAATAGCTCTGTTGAGGGAATCTTCATCGGTTCCAAGCCCAAGAATGGAGTCTCTTACAACCTGTTGGTGGATACAAGTCAAGAAAAATGAGATTGGAATCAATTGCTGCATTCGAGTATTTTCAAAATAAATTGTCCAGTTGTGTAATATAATCTTGATGTAGCTTGAAAGAAATTAGAGTAAATACTTATTTCGATCTTCTAAAGATATAAATGTATAAATACATCAAATCGGTCCTCTAGACAACCAATTTAGTGAGAGGTTGTTCCAACTTAATCAGTGGTCTCAAGTTCGAGTCCCTAAAAATGCAGCTGTGTTAAAATTTGATAAGGAGAGCTTTGCTGCCCATGTGGTTGTATCAGGCACAAATCGAACTAGCCAAGTAATCGATGAATAGATAAATAATATAAAAAAAATGTCACAGTTAGATAGTAGAGAACTATTTTAATGTATTTATTATTTGAGAACCAAACTAATGATACATTGTATATTAGATGTTTACTCAAGGAATTATTATACAGTACCCCAAAAAGAATAAGGGAAAATAATTGAGAGAAACTATACAGTCATGTCATGGTGTAATACTAAAATTCATATTTGACCACTTTTCCAAAGAAAAAAGTTACTTGTAGATGGAAGAGAAAATTAAATTGTTAATCCATAATAACCTATACAATTAAACTGATATAATTCTATTTTGCCAGCACTACTAGTTTTAGCATAAAAAGTCCAAGAATTTTAGAAGTCACTAATTGTCAATATAGCAAGTATTGTTCAAAGTACTGATAAAGTTGGGCTTTGAAAATTAGAAACCAACGGTGGAAAGGGGCTGAACAGTGAAAGATAGGCAGTTTCTGTATTTCCTCAGCTGGCATAGTTCTTGAAAAGCATATTTAAATACATCATGAAAATTGATCAATAGATTCTGATGAATTGACAGCTTAGCATGATAAGACAATAACATCTAAGTTTAATAGATAATAATGTATTAGTTTAATAAGTCACACCCTGTCTTATGTAGAAGAAAATTAGTAGTTTACCTTTGCAAAATGTTTCTCAGGGCAGTCTATGCACCATACTGCCACATTTAAGAGAGATTCCAAATCACCCTTACCACAATTTTTTATGTCCTGTCAAGAAAATCATCCAAATTCCTATTGGATAAATAAAGTAATCATATATATATATATATATACACGCAGAGAGAGAGAAAGTATAAATTTGAACCACTATCAAGTAAAATGTTTGCACTATTAATAAACAAGATATTGTCACATCATTGTAGTAACTAAGGTTTTTAAATTCAAGTAAAAATGATTTAAGAGGCTTTAAAAAACTGACATGATATAAATCACTAGTAGTGTAAAATTTTACAGCTTTAGTGGATCAAAATTAAAGTCTTACATAAGAACTTAAGTTTTAAAGCAAAACCTGTTCCATAGTATTCCCATAGAGTTGCTTGTAGCATGCAAAAGTTTCCCGGAGCTGGAAAAGACTCCTGGTGCTAAGTATCCAAACAATGTGATCATCATCTAATTGCTTACTGTTGATTGCTTCATGTAGTTTTGATGCCTCTAACTTAGCAACCTCCAAATTTACAGCCACTTTGTCATACCTGTAGGAGCTTACTAGACCTACTAAAAGCTGCACAATACCCACATTACTTTTTCCAGAGGAAATCATAGAACAAAAGGGATATCATAAATGTGAGGGTGAATCATGAATGCAACAAACATTCTATCACTAATAGAAGCTTGAAAGTCCATTAGTCCTAAGTATCTGTAGATCTGATTATGACATTTTCAAACCTTGATTTTTAGATTCAAACCACGGTAAATAGGGGCATACATCCCTCACAGAAAAATATATGTGCTTGAGTTTACTAAATGAATGGTGTCTGTTCGGTCCTGGAAAGACCGTATTGCTATACCGTATGGTATGCGCTCAGAGATACTGTATAATCAGATGTATACTAGACTTATAGCCGATGTCCCAATCACTGCGCACAAGTAATAGGCTTATAGCCAGGACGTGGGTGTGTGCACAGTGTTGGCAGTAATAGAAAATAGGTTAAAAGTCTATCCCTGGGGTCTTTAACCTCTTATTTATAAGGGTTACCTCTTGGGCTTGTGTAGATCTTCCAGTTGTAGTAGGATTTAACTTCCTTTCTGTTGGGATAGGGACTCTATCCTTAGCTGCCTTACTGTTCTATATTGTTAGGATAATTGGAGAATTATCCTTTAAGGGATCCTTGGGCAGGTGGTTAAGATATGGAAATATTCCATAACAGTTGCCCCCCCAGCCCAGCAGTTCGGAAGCTCGGACTGCTGGGGTGCCTAAGTTTGATTGATAGGTCGACTCTACCGAGGTACTATGATCCTGCCTTGGGTCTGGTGTGACTACCTCTTCTGGGTTTAGCTTTTTATATTGGCTTCTTTTCTCTTGAAGTCTCTGAGTGGTGAGGCGGTGTTTGCCTTTTTTTGTTGACTTTGAGCTCGGCTTCTCTTGCCAAGGTTTTTTAGTTTTGACTAGGCTTATAGTCAGTCTTTTATATAGGCGTTCGCCTTAGTTTTAGGATGGCATTTCGTGCCTCCTTAATAATTAACCCGAATTTGCAGTTCCTGGCATTAAGTGTCGTGGTTCAAGATTTGGCTCGGTTTCGCACACCGAGATCTCTATTAGCGAATTTGACCTTTTGCAAAGGTGTATTGTACTTTAGGGAGCACGAATTTTCTTACTACGACTTCCCCCTTTTGGATTTGACTTGCTGCCTATATCTTAATTTTGGGAAGGTCTTCCATGCCTTCTTGAACGATTAGTCCGGCTTCGAATACTATGACTTCTCTTGTTTTTGATGGACTTGGTTTCTTTTGCCATAGTCTTGGATTCTTGAAGGAGGAGTTCGCCTCCTCGATTTTAAGCCTGAATATGTATACCGTGGCTTTTATTTTGAGTCCTGCTTCATTCGCGATGGCATTTTGATTTGAGGCCAGCCTGTTAGACCTTTGTGGCCAAAACCTTAACGACTTGGTTTTGTTGTTGTAGTCTTAAGTTACTAGGGCAGTTTTCTGCCTTCTTCATTTTGAACCCAGCTTCACATACCGTGGCTTTCTTTAAATTGACTTGGCTTTTGTCTTGTCTACACTTTTGAAGGCGGTATCTTTGCCTTTCTGATTTTAGCCCGGCTTAACGTACCGTGGCTTTACTGTTGGACTAGACTTTTTGCCATATTTTGTTTGAGCCTGGCTTCGCATACCGTGGCTTTCTACTTTAAGCAACGCTTCATTAGCGATGGATTTTTAATTTGAGGCTGGCATGTTGGGCCGCAAACTTTGTCATTTGGTTTTGTTGCCAAAATCTTGAATAGAAGCCCGACATCATATGCCGCCTCGATTTTTCTTTTATCTCAAATTGGGGTGTGATCCTTTTCTAGGATCACTATCTCTCCAAATTCGTCTTCTCGGATTGGAGTGTGATCCTTTTTGCTAGAATCACATCTCTCCAATTCCATCTTTCTTCTTCATCTTTTTTCGAATCGGGGTGTGATCCTTTTGCTAAGATCAAATCTCTCCAATTTCGTCTTCATTTTTATCGCGGATTGGGGTGTGGTCCTTTTGCTACGATCACATCTCTCTAATTCCGACTTCATTTTTATCTCAGATTGGGGTGTGATACTTTTCTTAGGATCACATCTCTCCTTTTCTGTCTTCATTTTGATCTTGGAGCCTGAAGCTATGGCTAAGCCTGAGTTGGAGTTCAAGGCTGAGGCCGAGCTTTAATTTTGAAGCTCTTCGTTTAGCTGAGCTCAAGGCTGAGGCCGAGCCAATAAATTTGAAGCCCTTAACTGGCTGAGTTGAAGATCAAGGCTGATGCCGAGCTTTCAAACTTGAAGCCCTTCATTGGGCTGAGTTGGAGCTCAAGGCTGAGGCCGAGCTATTAAACATGAAGCCTTTATTTGGGCTGAGTTGAAGCTCAATGCTGATGCCGAGCTTTTAAACTTGAAGCCCTTCATTGGGCTGAGTTGGAGCTCAAGGTTGAGGCCGAGCTATTAAACATGAAGCCCTTAGTTGGGCTGAGTTGAAGCTTGTAAGAACCCACGCCGTTAATTAAGGAAGTTAATTAATTAATTGTGTGAAGTTAGGAAATAATTCCAAACTTAACCCTAATAATTATTATGAGGCTTTAATGATTGTAGTAAGTGAGTAATAATGTTGGAAGCCGTTTTTCCGACGAAAAGTGCAGATACCGGTTCTGCTAGTCGGTATAAATGCGTACCGATGAAGTATCCCGGAAAATTATAATAAGTGCATGAATATTCCTAGAATAATATGTAGGACTGTGATTTCAAGTTTCAAGTTAAAATAATGAGAACTGATACTGGCTATGGAAAAGCACATACCGGAAAAGTTCTGCGAAAAATATAATAAAAATATGATAAATCTTGTACAATTGAGTAGGTTATGAATCCTAAGTTTGGGATTAAAATGCTAAGCGTAGAATTTAGCGCTAATACAGTGCGATTAAAACTTAAGTGGCTATATATAGCCTTGGCACATGATCCTAGGTTTATTTTTTGAGCCTCCATCGTGAGAATATCTGAGTGTAGGAGACCAGCCACCTTGCTACTCCTTTTCTTCTTCATTTTCTCACCAAAGACACCACCTTTGATCATGGTTTCTTCTCTTGATCAACCTATCTTGGTGTGAGCTACCTTGGGAGAGTGAGAGGACCTTGTTTCTGAGTTCTTGCTACTGCCTTGTGAGGTGTGAGGGGCTGAGTTTCTGGTTTTGGGGTTGTGGTGTCTTATTCTTGGTGCTTGGTGCTCCAAGAAGCTACCTTTGTGAAGAAAGGAACCATCTTGTGTGCCATTTTCGTTCTCTTCGAAGTCAGTACCTTGTAGCTGACTTGTGAGCTCCAAGAGCACCTTTGGTTGGCTGTTTTAAGCTTGGGTAAGTGTTACCACCTTTGATCTTGAGTTCTAATGGTTAAAAGAGATGTATTGGCATGTTTAATGAGCTAAACAAGTACGTAATATGAGTATGAACCTATATGTGCCTAAAAATGGAGTCTTGAACGTTTTTAATTGGTAAAAGTTGGGCCTTTGATGGATATCTTCGCGAAATGCAGAAACTGCATTCTGTCGCGAAATATCCGGATATGGGGATTTGGATATCCGGACATTGATATCCGGATATTGGCAGAGAGATATCCGGATATGCCCCCGACATATATCCGGATATTCTGGGTTTTCGAAGAACAGTAGCTGCACTGTTCATACAGAAGGCTATTGGGGGTTTGTGGACTCTAGTTTGAGGAAGTTGAACTTCTGTAATAATTAGTTAAGCCAGAATCTAAGTGATTAAGGGCTTGAGGCTTTGTGAGGAGCCTAAAGACGTAAAACGTAAAAGAGAAGCGTTGTCTTTATGTTTATGCTTATGAGCTTTGTTTATTGATATGATTGCTGGTCCAAATCAGATTGTGATTTTGCTGTGTTTGGACTTTGAGCATCGGTTGGATCTTGGCTTGGATTGTTAGCTTGCAAGGTAAGCTTTCGTGTCCTCGGTTTAGCCATTGTTGGTTCCACCAAGTCCCATGGGGGTATGGTTATATGCATGCTGTGTTACATGCTTTGATATTTGAAATGCTTTTGAGCTGTTAAGTGCAAATGCTTATGATATGTATGTGGTGTTCACCCGATGGGATGTGATCCTAAGGGTAGGTACGACAGGGCGCGTACTGTGTGGGTAATAGACGTATTCCTGCATTTCTCTGGCCAGTTGATTATAGCATTGACACACATGACATGATTATCTGCCATTTTGCACTATATCGGAAATAATGTTGATAAACTGATTTTGAACTTATATTGCACATGTAAGTGAGTTTGGGGTGGAAGATCCGTGAGGACCCCTTGTCTTACTGAGATTTCTTGTTTAGAGATCTCACCCCACGTTTGGGGACGCTTATTTCAGGTTCAGGTAACTTGGGGGCTGATGCCTCTGGCGGCAGGAGGCCAGAGCTTTGTTGATGATTATTGTTGTTTATATGTTGACATATTTGAATGCTGGATATATCTGCTGATATTATGTTTTTAGCTTGCTTTTAGTATGTTGCTGTTGTTGAGACTTTTGTTGGGCTTTGTTGCCTTATTTGGGTGAGCATGGGGATTGTCCATGCCACTTTGATTTCTGTTATGTTTGAGTTTAACTGAGTTGTATAAACTATCAGAGTTCTCCGGTCTACGTGTTGTAGTTCCGTGACTAGAGACATATTTATGTTGTTAATTTAATGAGGTATTTCAGTTAGATGTCCTTTGCAATTTACATATAGGCAATGTTTTGAAAATGATTAAGTAATCAAGTTGGTAATGAATAATGACATCATAATTGAAAAGAAAAAGATATTCTGCATTTTTAATAAAGCGCAGCTTAATACGATGATATGATAACATTACCGGATATATACAGGGTGTTACATTTTATGGTATCAGAGCAATGGTTCGAGGGAAAAGCCTGTATGTATTGCAATAATTAGGATGCTTGGTTGTGTCTGTCTTGTGTGTTTGCTCCGTTGGACTTTATTATGATGATGCATATGTGATCACATTGCGTGGGCCTGATCAACTCATAATTTGTGTAACTTAT